TATAAATTTTATTGACCTTTATAAAGAACCACCTTTTAGTTTAATGGATTTTTCCACTGTTTTTATGTTTTCAATTTCATTGATTTGTGTTCATATTTATATTATTTCTTCTGCTTGCATTGCATTTGTTGTACTTACCTCTGTTACTGGTTTTTCAAGCTTGAAGCTTACATTGATTTGAGACTTTCTTATTTCCTAGCATAAACATTTAATACTTTAAATTTCCCTCTAAGAACTGCTTTATTTGCATCCCACAATCTTTTTTTTGTAAGTTTTTATTGATTTCAGAAAGAAAGGGAGAGGGAAAGAGAGATGGAAACATCAGAGAGAGAAACATCTGTTTGCTGTCTCCTGCACTCCCCCGACTGGGGATCAAGTCCACAACCCAGTGTGTGCCCTAACCAAGAATGAATTTGTGACCTCTTGGTGAGTGTGTCGATACTCAACCACTGAGCCACACCACCCAGGGGGCATTCCACAGTCTCGATATGTTGTATTTTCATTTTTGTTTAGTTTAAAACATCTTCAAATTATCTATATTTGTTCCTTTGTTTTCTCAATCCCCTATTTCTACTTTCCTGCCTGCTTTGGATTGTTGAACTTTTTCGGTATTCTGACATTTTTCCCAAGTCTCAGGTTGACTTTTCCAACCATCCAGTGGTGCTGTTTTCCAGATTCCAGACACAGCCACAAATAGCAAGAGCATTCAGGAATCTCCTGCTTTAAGAAAAGCCATCATGCCAACATTTTAAAGTACCTGTTCCAATAGAAACAGGAGTGATTGTTTACATCAATAAAAGGTTTATTTAAAGATTCTGTAGTGGAATATTCTGTCCCTGTTCTGACAAAGTCACCTTAGTTTTCTTTTGGAGAATCACCTCTGTCCCTCTCATAGTTCACATGACTTGGGTTATTTAATCTTCCACTTGTTTTATTTTTGAGATGGAGGTTGTTGTTTTTTTGTTACTTACAATGGGGGTGGAGGAGGTTCTTGATGACTAATAAAAATTCATTTAAGTTGTTTGTGTGGCCCTAGCTGGTTTGGCTCAGTAGGTAGAGCTTCAGCCTGTGGACTAAAGGGTCCCAGGTTGATTCCAGTCACATGCATATGCCAGAGTTGTGGGCTCTATCTCCAATAGGGGGCATGCAGGAGGCAGCCAATCAATGATTCTTTTTCATCATTGATGTTTTTATCCCTTTTTCCCTCTCCCTTCCTCTCTGAAACCAATATATACATATATGTATATGTATACATATATTTTTAAGTTGTGTGTGTGTGTGTGTGTGTGTGTGTGTGTGTGTGTGTGTGTGTTATTCCCTTCTTTGTTACATTCCATGACTCTGGTCTCTGAATTCCAAAAGGACAAGGACTGTGACTGTCTTGCTCACTGTGCAATTTTCTATGACCAACATATAGATATGTGTGGAATGAATAAAGGGTCACTGGTCTTCAACTCAGAATAGTTTGTGTCAGGGTGCAAAAGGGTTGGTTGACTTAAATGTAATGAGACTGGAACATGTTTCATGACTATGAGTGAGTTGATCCTCAGGTAATTCCTAATGTGGCTTTCCCTCTTGGGCCCTGGCTGTCATGGGCTCATTGACTATGTCCCTGGAGATCACAAGACATGTATCCCACCTTGGACAATCCCTAACAATGTTCTTTCTAGTTTTTCAAGAAGAATTTACTATCCTTACTTGTCTGTAGGACCAACCATGTAATTTTTGGAACTCCGTGCAAAATGAAAATGCAGGGCCCTTGTTCATAAAGCAGGGGAAAAGTGTCATTAAAGTTACTAAAATATAAAGCTGTTTCCTCCCATAGTTTCCTTTTTTACTTGTCATAATGTTTTTTATCTGCTATTCAATGTTCTAAGTAAAGGACAACTGAAATAAAATTTTAAGTTATTAGTGTGAATTTTACCATTCATCTTTACATTGTGCAACACCAGTTTTAAGTGCAACTACAAGATCATTTAACTAATGGGAGGAATCACCAAAATTATACAATTTGTATTTCATAATTTGTATATGTCCAGAACAGATGAAATGCTGCAGAAACGAACTCAAATGTTTTAATTTTACTTCTTTAAACACTCACAAACTACTGACAGACCCTACTTTGGGCTTAGTGATAATGTTATTTTCAGCAAACATAATCTGCTAATACAGAATATAAGTTTTCTTGATCATTCATGTTTTTATAAAATTGTTTTCTTCTTTCTGCCTTGGAAGCAAGTTCTGGTCTGAACAGAAAGTGTGGCCTCCCAGGGCTGTAAGTGCTAAAGTTTCCTTTGCATGTTGTAGACATACAACCTTAATAATTGCATTAAGTGTAACGCTGATGTCATTACACCCATGTACCGGTGTACATGCATGTCTTGCCAAACCTTCATGCATCACAGGTCCACAAGAGCCCTGTGCTCATGGGCCCTGGCAAACACCACCTGCAAATGGGCAGCCAAGAACAGCAGACCCACATATTGTACATATTCCTGGTGCACATATCTCGATTGCCCCGTCAGACTTCACTTACACAACACAAGTTAAAGGATAAAATTATTAAAAATGTCAAAATAGCCAAAACCAGTTTGGCTCAGTGGATAGAGTGTTGGCCTGTGGACTGTGGGGTCCCAGGTTGAATTCTGGTCATGTACCTTGGTTGTGGGCACATCCCTAGTAAGACGGTAAGACGTGTACAGGAGGCAGCTGATCGATGTTTCTCTCTCATTGATGTTTCTAACCAGGAGGCAGCTGATCAATGTTTCTCTCTCATTGATGTTTCTAACTCTTTATCCCTCTCCCTTCCTCTCTGTAAAAAAAAAAAAAAAAAGTATGTCAAGATAACAACAGCAGAGCAGTCATCCAAGCACTTGGCCCTTCTGAGCACCATTTGTGCAAATTACATTCCCATGAAACTGGCCCAGCATGTCTGTGTGGAAACCACCAATACAGCGATTCTGCATTTTATATTTGTTTTACAGTTCTACCCACACTTGACTTCCTGGGAAATCTACAGAATGCAGTGTGACATTTTGAGATCATTAACCACTTGACAGGGGAGGAGAGAGAAATTTAAAGCAAATGTGTCAGGAGTCACACCTAATCAAAGATCAATCTAAAGCAAAGATAAAAGCACCTTGGAAATTGCAACATGAGTCCATGGCCAGATAGGGTTTGATCCCAAATATTTTGGGAACAGGTCAGTGATGTCAAGGAACACATAGCTGTTCTCCAAAATGCACTAAAATAAAAATATTCACATTTTTTTTCCACCTGCCACATCCCCTTTCCATTGCCTCCTTTTAAAGAGACTAAGCTGATGTCCCATCTGTAAGCTATAATGTTCAAACCTAAACAGCTTGGTGGTATAAAATGATTGTTGTCCATGTGGAAAAAAAAAAAGCCTCATTGTTCTATCAACAAGAAATAAATTTTATGATAAATTGAAGGTAATATTGCCCTTTATATATTATAAAAATTTATTTCTTGTTTCATTTTTATTATTTTTGAAATCTTAAAAAATGTATTACACATTTATCTTCTTAAACAGAATGCACAGATTCTTATTTGACCTTTCCTTCAGAACTAAGGATGATCATTTGAAACATCAATTATTGTATTTTTTTTATTGGGTTCAACAAAGTTATTCGGGAGCATTTACAGACAAGGCATTATGCCAAGATTAATGTCTGTCTGGATCAGTGTGGGCTACTGTAACAAATACATCATAATCTGGGTGATGTATAAACAACAAAAATTTATTTGTCACAGTTCAGAAGACAGGAACCCTGAGAGCAGCGTGGTTCGGTTCTCGGTGAAGACCCTCTTCCTGGTTTGCAGGCTGCCAACTTCTTCATGTATCTTCCCCTGTGCAGAGGGCTAGTTAGCTCTCTGGCCTCTTCTGATCAATGTACTGATCCCACTCTTGAGGGCTCTACCTCATGAGCTAATCTCCTCCCAAAGATCTCCACCTCCAAGTACCATCACATTGGGAGAAGGGTTTTAACATAAATTTGGGATGGATACATTCTTCTCTTTGCAATGGCCCTTGCCATTTGGTGTTTATGATCCTGTTGGAGAGGTAAGGCAGGTGCATAAGTTCAAAATTCTTGGCAAAACACAGTTCTATTATATAAATCAAAACAAGTACTATTGGAACACCGAAGAGAAGGGAGTGAGAGAACATTATGATAATTCAAATGGGTCTTGAAGGATGATTTATGGTGGGCATGCTAAGGTGTGTACCATGCTAAGAAATCCACAGTGCTGAAATGAAATGATAAGTATGAAATAGAGCAGGGTGTTTTGAAACATTGGAACCACAGGTCATATGTTTGACAAAAGATGGAACTTATATCTATTCACAGTCGGAGCCATTAGAAGGTTTTGTAATAAGAGAATGACATCAGCATTACACTTTAATGCATCAATGCATTTTGAAATGTGTAGGATTGTTTGTACCTATAAAAATTGTGGTGCTATTATGTGTTTTTGACTGGTTATTATAAGTTTCTATTACCTTTCAGTTTGCCAGCTATTCTTGATTGTATCAAGATATTTATCTGGATATAGACACACTTAGATCTAACATTCTATTAAAATTCTGCCCCTAGTCTACTAATAGCTAGAAACCAAACAGCCAACATTATTATAATTGCACTTATGTATAAATAGGCTTTGAGAAATAGACTGAAATTTGCTAATTATCTAGATTATTTGCTGTTTTACTTAGTAAACAGTAAGGATTAGCCTAAGAGTAAAGTACATGGGTGTAGACTTCAATGAGGATTAAGGCTTCTGAAGGAAACTTCTGGTTTAAAATAGTGGAATTCACCATGACTATCTTTTCTGCCTACTCAAGTCTCATTACAATGACTGCCAGGGACTCTTAAAAAACAAATTAATCAACAAGGTCAAAGAGAATAAGAGACAATTTGCCATAAATGCTTTCAACAAATTTTTGGGAGGTGAGAAATGGACGGAGGAACGGTAATTACCTTGGCAGAGCGAAGAAAGGAGAAAGCCAATTGCTTGCAGACAAGTGGGAACAGAGCTGCTTCACCCCGAAGAACCTCTGGGTTGCTCAGTGTTTATAAGAAATGAATATTTGAAAAGGAAGGTGAAAACAAAGCTCGCAGTGAAAAAGGGCGTTTGCTGGAAGTTGGCCCACGGTGTGGTTGAGCCCATCACGTCTCCGCTCATGTGTGCATTCATGCAGCAGCCCTTTCCTTGCTTCCTGGCAGAAAGTTGGAGGTTTATTCTTCTGAGTAACAAGGCATGGGAAGCAGGCCCAGAGAGATGCAGAGATGAAGCAGGGTGAAATGCCTACGTGACATACTGTGGACACCCCAATGCCCTTTCCTCACCCTGCTTCCAGAACTCCTCTCTCTCTCTCTCTCTCTCTCTCTCTCTCTCTCTCTCTCTCTCTCTCTCTCTCTCTCTCTCTCTCTCTCTCTCTCTCTCTCTCTCTCTCTCTCTCTCTCTCTCTCTCTCTCTCTCTCTCTCTCTCTCTCTCTCTCTCTCTCTCACACACACACACACACACACACACACACACACACTGGCTAGAGATTCAGATTCTTCTCTAAAACAATCCAGATACATATCCATGGATAATGACATTTGGGAGTTCTTCAATGAATCGGCGATTCACTTCCCCATCACTCTATGGGGAGGTTTAGAGAAATGCTCCATCCTTAGTCATAGTGCAGCCTCCTCACCCTTGACTACAGACTGAGGTTTTCCTTCTGACATCAATCACATGATGTCTTTCCCAGCACCCAACTCTCTGACACCAACTGAATGTCCAACTGTTCCAGTCCCACCAATAAAGGGCTCAATATCATTGTGAAAGAATCATTTAAATCCTGTGAGTATTAATAAAATGTAGCTCAACATGCTTCCTTGTTTATCGACTCAAACCTTGTTTAAGATAAGGAAGGATGACAACTTCACTGGAAATGACTCATTGAAATAAATCTACATTCAGTATGTAGATTTTAGTTGAAAAAAATGTATTTTGATAAGTAGTGATAGTTGTTTCTAAGAAAGGTGTTGCTGGTATATTAAGAAATAAAATCTATTGATCTAGTTATCTATTCTCAAAACCTGCGTGTGTGTGTGTGTGTGTGTGTGTGTGCATGTCCGTGTTTGATATTTTTTAAGTAATTCAAATCAAGCCATTTTCTATGTCTAATTAACAGCTTGTGAAACAATTCCTTAAATACAGCTGTAAAAGGGACACTGTGGCAATATTAAAACATGTTAAAATAAAAATTGCTCAGAAATACAAAAATAAATAAATAAATAAATAAATAAATAAATAAAGGACTTAGTCCCATAAGACTGCCTCACTTCAGATGCTAATCATAAGTCTTCACCACCAGTAGTTCTGACTAACCAGCTGTAAATCAGGGGTTCCCATGCCCTTTCCTCATGTTTGATCATTTGCTGCAACAACTCAATTAAAATATCCCAAGGAAAAGTGATTTACTTAGCATTACCAGTATACTAGAGAGGATACAACTCAGAAACAGTCAAATGCAAGAGAGGCATGTGACAGCTTCCATCTCTGGCACTTCAATGTGTCCACCTACCCAGAAGCACTCTGAGCTCTACGGCGTGCTTATAGGAGTTTCATTGCATAGACTGATTAAATCATTGGCCTTTGGTGATTGAACTCAATCTCCAGATCCCTCTCCTCTACCCAGAGATCAGGGAGTGGAGCTTGGAGTCCCAACCCTCTAATCATGGCTTGGTTTTTCTGAAGACCAGACACTATCCTGAAGCTCTCTAGGAGCCCCTCAGCCAAAAGTCATCTCATTAGCATATATAAAGCACTCTTCTTACTCTGATCCCAAGGGTTTTAAGAGTCCCGTGAGGAGGAAACTGGGACAGAGACCAAATATTTTTATCATACCACATAAACACATCACCAGATAACTGTGAAACTTCTCCAACATGAAAGAATAAGATAAACAAATAGAAAAAAAAGGCAGAAACAAATAAAAGTATTGAAAATAAGCCTGGCGGGGTAGCTCAGTGTGGTTGGACTGTCATCCTGATAGGCCAAGCTTGCGTTTGATCCTCCGAGCAGGGCACGTTATAGGAATCAACCAATGAATGCATAAAAGTGGATAAACAGATCTCTCTCTCTCTCTCTCTCTCTCTCTCTCTCTCTCTCTCTCTCTCTCTCTCTCTCTTTTTCTAAAATCAAGCCATCAATAAAAAAAAATTTTAAGCCTAGTTGGTTTGCTTCAGTGGATACAGTGCCAGTCTATGGACTGAAGGGTCCCAGGTTTGATTCCAGTCAAGGGCACATGCCCGGGTTGAGGGCTCAATCCCCAGTAGAGGGTGTGCAGGAGGCAGCCGATCAATGATTCTCTCTCATGATGTTTTTATCTCTCTCCCTCTCCCTTCCTCTCTGAAATCAATAAAAATGTATTTAAAGATAAGAAAGAGCTAAAACTGGTTTGGCTCAGTGGGTAGAGCATCATCAATGTTTCTAACTCTCTATCTCTCTCTCTTCCTCTCTGTAAAAAAAATCAATGAAATAGATTAAAAAATAAAATAAAAATAAGAAAGAAAAGGGCAATAGGATACAAATTGCTTTAAAAATTTTTTAGAATTATTGAATATATGATTAGTATTCTCAAATAAGTAATAACCATAATGGGTCAAAATAAGAATAGGTTGCTTTGAAAAATTAAAGAGAAAAAATGAGATCTTGTAAATAAAAATATATGATGGTGGAAAATTTTTAATCTAATAGAAAATTGACAATGTTTAGTACAATTCCCCAAGGGAAGAGGCAATGAACATAGAGAAACTAAGGAAAGAAAGGAAAACAAGTTAGAGAACTAATCAAATATCCAGGAACAGCAGTTGCAAGAAGAACAGAGAAAAAGGAGAAAAGTTATCAAAGAGACTGTGCTAGACAATTTCCCAGAGCAGAAAGACAGGGGTCTCCACACAGAAAGTTTTTTGAAAGCGCCAGATAACAAATGAAAATTTACACCAATGTGCACAGTTGAGAAATTTCTGAATACTAAGGTTAAAAGAAAGATCCTAAAGCTTCCAAAAATTCACAAGTTACATAGAAAAGAATGGTAACCAAAGTCATCAGGCGAGAGCATTCCAACAATAAGATATCCATTAGTTTGTGCTTTGCCTTCACAATCCCAACAGAGAATGTATTTCACCAGGCTTGGCTTCATTGGTGTGCTACAGGGAAGTCACACAGGGCCCTCACCTCAGAAAGGGGTCCTGCACTTGGGTTTAACACTACAGTCACCATTTTAAAAATCTTAATAATTTTATCTTTGATCTCGTATTTTGTAAGTGAAGTCCAATAGGAAAGGGGTGCGTGAGCAGTGCTGGCTCCTGTGGCCTCCTCACCACCGCGTGGCAGTGCTCCTGGCTACCTGCTCCCCAACCCCCACTGAGAGGCTCCCTCTTCCCTCTGCCCCTGCCCCCACCCCCATGGGCCTGATACAGGTGCAGGGAGGGTTGGGGTTGGGCATGCACACCCCCCATGCTTGGCTGCCAGGATGGACTCTAGGTGTTAGTGGAGGTCTACACTCACCCTATAAGTATCCCCATGACTGACGGAATGTGACAACTAAGAATGAGGAGGATTTCCTTCCCTGGGAGTTTTGAGAGGAAAAGAGATTCCTGCTCATCTGGATGGGCAAGGTGTGGGCCAGCCGCAAAGGGCAGGGGATGAAGACTCAGAAAGCCTCTCTCGCCACCTCCCCCAGCTCCTGAGTCTCTGATTTTTATTGTCATAGACACCAAGGTCACTGCCAGCTGTGAGCATAGCCAAGTCTAGACCTGGCTTTTAGAAGTGAGTACTGCTACGTGCTTCACACAGATCCACATTTTCAAAGTGCTTAATGCTCCCCCCATCTTTCCCCTGTCTGCCACCCCTAGAACTGCAGACCTCACTGGATTTGGTGACCTGACAACTGCCCTTTGCACAGGGATTTGTATCGTAAATTGCCACTAAGAGGCCTCTGATACACGTCTTCCTCACAAATTTATGCTGTCGTGGTTTTCAGACAGAAACTGGCATGTACACATGTGGCAGGCTCGAGGCTCATCAGACAGGTTCTATTGATTTGGTCGCCAGGTGGTAACCATATTATTTCATGTTTCTCGGTAACTTTTGTGCAACACAATTACCTTTGACAGTTCTTGAGTGGGACAGCAATTTTCAGCAAATGTTTTCAGTAACCAGAGGCCAGCTGAAAGGAAACGTGAGTGCTTGCTTCGGGGAAGCTTTGAGTGTGGCTCTGACAGCTCTTCAGCACCTCCGTGGTCTTATAAATAGAAATTCTGTGGAAATACAGGCCCCGGGAACTTAACCGAAGGGAGCTGAGCAAGGTCGATGGTTTCCACTGTATCAAAGAAAGAATGTGCCCTTGCACAGGATAAATTCTCCACCCTGAAGTTCTTCCAAGCTCCAGAATACAGATTTCTTTTCCTGGGGTTGAATGCTTTGTCTTCCTTCATGCTAATTCCACACTGCGAAGGGCATGACTTTCACTTCTTGAACTTGCTTGAATTTATATGTGCCTTCAGCATTCCTCAAAGTTATCTAAGGAAGAGGTAGATCAATTCAATCTCCACTTATTCGTTTCCAGTTTGAAGAAAAAGATACTAAGTTGTCACAGATGGGCTGTTCAAAATCTGATCTTAAAGAATGGGAATAAGAAAGTGAATTGCTTTTCCACAACCCCCCACCAGCATATCTCTCTGTCTCTCTGTCTCTCTGTGTCTCTCTGTCTCTCTGTCTCTCTCTCTCTCTCTCTCTCTCTCTCTCTCTCTCTCTCCCTCTCTCTCTCTCTCTCTCTCTCTCTCTCTCTCTCTCTCTCTCTCTCTCTCTCTCACACACACACACACACACACACACACACACACACACACTTTCTAAGAAAATATAAAACAAAGTGCCTGCAGTCTCTAGTCATCCACCATAGGAAAAGAAAAGAACAGTGTGTTTGTTCCCCCAAATCATCAGGAGTTAAAAGGACTGATACACACAATTGATAAATCTGCAGAGTTGTATGGCTGGTGGGGTTGAACATGAGGTCACGTGCCACGACCACATCCCAGAGAATGTACTGTGACTCACATCCCATTGGCGTGGTGCGGAGCAAAACTTCCCTTGGACACACGGAAGAGAAGAACCTACTCTTTGCTCCAGTTTCATTAGCAATGTTTTGCAGGCAAACTTTCTTTTGATCTCCAATGACTAGACACATTATATCATCAACTCTAAATCAAGCCACATTTTTTCCCCTCTGCCTAAAACTGGTCTCATTGGTGAGGACAACACCAGCTAATCTGTAACATGTTGCAGATTGCAACATCTCCTGG